TGCAGCCCTACAACCATCCTGCAATCCTATAAACATCCTGCAGCCCTACAACCATCCCATCCCTGCAGCCATCCTGCATCCCTGCAACCATTCTGCATCACTGCAACCAGTCTGCATCATTGCAACTGTCCTGCATTAATGCAACCACCCCAGCCCTGCAGCCACCCTGCAGCAATGCAACCACCCTGCATCACTGCAACTGTTCTGCATTGCTGCAACTGTTCTGCATTGCTGCAACTGTTCTGCATTGCTGCAACCATCCCCGTGACCCTGCAGCCACCCTGCATCACTGCAACCATTCTGCAAACCTGCAGCCACCCTGCAAACCTGCAACCACCCCCATCTCCGCAATCACCCCATCCCTGCAGCCACCCTGCATCACTGCAACTGTTTTGCATCCCTGCAACGTCTCTGCAACCACCCTGCATCCCTGCAGCCACCCTGCATCCCTGCAACCATCCTGCATCCCTGCAGCCACCCTGCATCACTGCAGCCACCCTGCATCTCTGCAACCACCCCATCCCTGCAACCATCCTGCAAACCTGCAGCCACCCCCATCTCTGCAACCACCCTGCATCCTTGCAGCCATCCTGCATCCCTGCAACCATTCTGCAAACCTGCAACCTCCCCCATCTCTGCAACCACCCCCAACCATGCAACGGTTTTGCATCACTGCAATCATCCCCAACCCTGCAGCCATCCTGGAAACCTGCAGCCACCCCCATCTCTGCAACCACCCTGCATCCCTGCAACAGCCCTGCATCCCTGCAGCCATCCTGCATCACTGCAACTGTTCTGCATGTCTGCAACCACCCCCAACCCTGCAGCCACCCTGCAAACCTGCAGCCACCCCCATCTCTGCAACCACTCTGCATCACTGCAACTGTTCTGCATCCTTGCAACCACCCGCCATCCCTGCAGCCATCCTGCATGCCTGCAAACCTGCAACCACCCCCATCTCTGCAACCACCCTGCATCCTTGTAACCACCCTGCATGCCTGCAGCCATCCTGCATCATTGCAACTCTTCTGCAAACCTGAAACCATCCCCAACCCTGCAGCCACCCTGCAACCACCCCCATCTCTGCAGTCACCCCATCCTGCAGCCACCCTGCATCCCTGCATCCACCCTGCATCACTGCAACTGTTGTGCATCCCTGCAGCCTCCCTGCAACCCCCCCGCATCACTGCAACTGTTCTGCATCTCTGCAACCACCCCATCCCTGCAACCGTCCTGCAAACCTGCAGCCACCCCCATCTCTGCAACCACCCTGCATCCCTGCAGCCATCCTGCACCGTTGCAACCACCCCCACTTCTGCAATCACCCCATCTCTGCAGCCCCCTGCATCGTTGCAACCAGCCTGCATCCCTGCAGCCATCCTGCATCCCTGCAACTGTTTTGCATCACAGCAATCATCCCCAACCCTGCAGCCACCCTGCAACCCTGCAACCACCCTGCATCACTGCAACTGTTTTGCATCCCTGCAGCATCTCTGCAACCACCCTGCATCCCTGCAACCATCCTGCATCCCAGCAGCCACCCTGCATCACTGCAACCATTCTGCAAACCTGCAACCACCCCCATCTCCGCAATCACCCCATCCCTGCAGCCACCCTGCATCACTGCATCCACCCTGCATCACTGCAACTGTTTTGCATCCCTGCAGCATCTCTGCAACCACCCTGCATCCCTGCAACCA